AATGGAGATGTTCAATGACTAAATGTTTTTTCTTCCAAAGATTTGACTAGTTTTTTGTAACCACCTAGCGGTGAACTCTACGAGTGTTATTACTTGTCCAAAATGCCCTGCTCATGTTAGGGAGGAGATTAGAGAATACATGGCTAAAAAAAAAGAAGAGAAGAATCTAATGAACATGGTTACCGACTTTGATGAGATGCCTAATGACTTGGAGGAGGATGAAAATGATATTATAGAGATTGTTGCGAATCGNCCTAATGACTTGGAGGAGGATGAAGATGATATTGTAGAGATTGTTGCGAATCGTAAAAGATCCATGACTAGTTCTAGTCAAGGTTCTACACAAGCCACATCGAGACCAAAAAAACCAAGACAAAAAGGGCCTATGGATGTATACTTCACCCCTGATCCGAATGTTGTGGTGCAAAATCGAAAGACCAAGGGGAGACAAACGAATATTGATGCCAACGATCCTTTTAGAAAGGAAATGAGAGAAAGAACAATCACAACATTTGTCCGATGGATGTATGACACTNTGCCAGCGATCCTTTTAGAAAGGAAATGAGAGAAAGAGTCATCACAACATTTGCCCGATGGATGTATGACACGGGAATTCCCTTTAATGTTGTGAACTATGAAAGTTTTGCAGCAATGGTTGAAACTTTTGGACAATATGGTCCTGGTTTGAAACCCCCTTCTTACCATGAGGTTCGGGTCCCATTGCTCAACAAAGAAGTAGGGCATATAAAGTCATTGATGAAAGATCACCAAGAGGATTGGGCAAAATATGGATGTTCCATAATGGCCGATGGATGGACTGACAAGAGAGGGAGAACCTTGATTAATTTCTTAGTGAATTGTCCAAAAGGGACCATGTTCTTTGAATCTGTTGATGCTTCTGCATACTCAAAGGATGGGCAAAAAATGTTTGAATTGCTTGATAATTTTGTGGAGCGTATTGGTGAAGCTAATGTGATTCAAATTGTCACTGACAGTGCGGCAGCAAATGTGTTAGCATGTATGAGCTTCTTGAAAAAAAGAAAGATAACTACTTGTTATATTGAATTTTTTTATGCACACTAGTTGATAAAAAAATCTTTATTTAATAGGTAAGTTTTTGGAGGCAAAACGACCCAACCTATATTGGACGCCATGTGCTGCCCACTGCTTGGACTTGATGTTGGAAGATATCTCAAGTTGCCAAACTTCAAGATAACATTTGAAAGAGGAATAGCGTTACACGGTTATATTTATAACTGTCCAACTCTATTGAAAATGATGAGACGATTTACCCAGTCAAGGGAGTTGATTAAGCCCGCAAAAACTTGATTTGTTACGACTTTTTTTAATCTAACAAGGATCAACCAACAAAAAGGTAACTTGAGAAAAATGTTCACTTAAGAGGAATGGACTGTAAGCAAATGGGCAAAAGAACAACAAGGCAAAAGGACAACACAAATCATTTTAATGCCTTTATTTTGGAGTAATGTTGTCTACTCTCTTAAGTTTATTGANAGCACAAATCATTTTAATGCCTTCATTTTGGAGTAATGTTGTCTACTCTCTTAAGCTTACTGGCCCTCTTGTCCGTGTGCTTCGATTGGTTGATGGTGAGAAAAAGCCTCCCATGGGGTACATTTATGAAGCTATGGACCGGGCTAAAGAAGCGATTGCTAATTCTTTTAATGGCAATGAAGAGAAGTACAAACACATATTTGAAATCATTGACCGAAGGTGGGAAGTTCAATTGCATCGGCCTTTGCATGCAGCTGGGTATTTTTTGAACCCAAAGTTTTTCTATTCCAATCTAGAGGTTGAGAAAGATCAAGAAGTCATGAATGGCCTATATAAATGTTTGAAAAAGTTGGTCCCAAATCCTGCGATACTAGATAAAATTGGTCAAGAGTTGAGTATTTACATGAAAGGTGAAAACTTTTTTAAGTTGCCCATGGCGGTTAGACAAAGAACAATGAGGGCACCAGGTAATCTATGTTATCCCACAAGCTTATTTCATTATCATTGCTTAAATATGTTAGTTAATTAATTGTTATTCATTATTCACAGCTGATTGGTGGAGTGCATATGGGTCTGCAACTCCAAATTTGCAAACCTTTGCAAAAAAAGTTTTAAGCTTTACTTGTAGTACATCCGGTTGTAAGCGAAATTGGAGTGTGTTTGAGCATGTAAGTATCATCCTCAAACCTCTTCAACTACATTTTTTTAATCTTATTATAAATTTTAATGTATTGTTAATAAATTATTGCAGATACACACCAAAAAAAGAAATAGACTAGCTCAATCCCATCTCAATGATTTAGTGTTTGTTAAATATAATAGAGTNATACACACCAAAAAAAGAAATAGACTAGCTCAATCCCGTCTCAATGATTTGGTGTTTGTTAAGTATAATAGAGCTTTGAGGCGCCGATATGATTCTCGTGACACAATTGATCCAATATCTTTGAAGGATATTGATGATAGCAATGAGTGGTTGATTGGGAGAATGGATGCAGACACAGATGAAGATAATGAGCTTGTGTTTGGTGATGATACTTTGACTTGGGGCGAAGTTGCTCGAGCTTCTGGAGTTACGGAAAGTAGCCAACGGACTAGATCAATACCATCTACTAGGGTAACACCAAGGTTTACAAGATCGACGACTGGACTCATAGATGAGGAAGACATAATTTCAGATGAGGCAGAGGAGGAGGATACTGAGGGATATGAATCTAAGGATAATGAAGAAGATGGTTTCTTTAGTGATAATGATTGATTTCTAAGTCCTTGAGATATTTTCTTTAGTTTCTTGAATTGTGTGTCTTTTGTTTTTAAATATTAGCATTTGAGATATTATTAGTGTTTGTATGAATTTAAATGTTTAAGCTATGACTGTTATTAAGATTTGCAATATTATTAGTGTTTGTTTTAATTTAAATGTTTATGGTTTTACTTGCATTTAAATATTTAGTATATATAAAATTAGAATTTTGATGTGTATAAGTAATTACACTAAAATATTTATTTATTTTTTTAACTGCTCGCTTCGCTTTGGTAAATCGTTTCGCTT